CAGGGGACGGAATTTTTTGGGCGTCATTTTGGGTCTGCTGAAATGAGAAAATAGGGATAAAAGTAGCTGCGCAAATATTATTTACAAAATAAACATACAGAAAAACTGGTAAGAATATAAAAAACTTTCTTTTGCAGAAAACGAAAAAATCGCCCACACCCACCCAATCCTACAATGTTTCCTAGGCGGACTCCTAGAGAAAAAAAACAACATAACCTTCCATTAACGTCACTGAGTGGGGTCTAACTCTCATAAGATTCTGTCCTTCAACTGCAATATCACCACGCCACCACCAACCTCACCCCCACCACGCACCCCCCCCCCCCGGCCAATTTTTAAATCGATTAAACAATTGAGTCCAGAAGCCCAGTATAATGTATCTAATTAGGCTAATTATTGCCTATTTCATCGGCCATCTCAAATCATTGACATTTCAAGCATCTTGAAAATGCCTTTCTATTTGCCTATTACTATTATAACAAATGAATTTCGCTATAATAATTATAAACCTAGAGTTATATGAATATGAGATTTGGTTAGTTTTTAATTACCATAAAGTTTTCAAATAAAGGGAATATTCCTTTATAATTTATAAGTAGGCACTAATAATGGATTAAAACGTGTACAGAATAATTAGCGTTACAATATTGCATCTTTTTCTTTTGCATGGCATTAAATCCGTAACAAGTAAAATTATGGGATGGATATTATGGGATGGAAATTATGGGATAGAAATTATGGGATACCCAATAAATGACGATTGCGCATGTTCCATTTACCTACTTAGCGGCTTTCCTTAGAACGGATAGAAGGAACTGTGTTTATAAAGTGGAACTGTTATTTTAATTTCTAGCTCATGTTTGCTTTTTGCTAAAATCCAATTATTTAATTCGTCATGTCGAGGAGAGACGAAGATGACTTTAGTGTCGATGGAGACGATGATGTGGATGAAGGTTTGTTACAACTACAAGAGAGGGGGGATTTTAGTGTTAATTTTAGCGGTTTAAATAAAATAACATCGCCACGGGTTTTTTTTTTTTTTTAAATGTAAGGTCTATTGTGATTTTAAAAAAAATAATTTAAATGACATTTAATTTCATTTTTAATGGTATTTTTGTTAGTCTCGATGAAAACTGATACAAAATAAACCAAATGTTATGAACAATTGTTGTTAATTTTGGTAGTGTCGAGGGGTATTTTCTCACGTTTGACATTTGAGAAGCGAGTAATGGCGCATGTCAAGAGACCTTCATAACTAGACTAACCCAATACCCTTTTTTTTTTCTAGGTCAGAGTTCACTTAGATGTTTTGCTTACTCCTATCTTTAACATTCCTCTCTGCCCCCTCTTTTCAATTAATATATAATATATAGGCTCCAATTTCTTTAAAAAATCAGTTGTAGTAGTCATTTATGTCAGATTGTCAGTGATTCAAGTATTTTAAGACACCTGTCAGTGGACTGAGTGGTCAGACAGTCTCATACACTGAAAATACTCAAATCATGTCATCTTGCTTGGTTATTCTAGTATTAGTATCTTTATATATTAATAATTTGCTAAAGGCCTTGGGCTGCTTAGGCATGGGAGTTTTTAAAGACTAAATTTAGACTAAAAATTAAAGAGACGCAGATAGGGCCAATAATAAGTTGTTACTTTGTTTGCTAAATAATATATCAGTATCTCACAATACAATCTTAAAATTAAAATATAAATATATATGAATATGGCATATATAGGCCTACTCAGTCTTCATTAGTCAAAATAAATAACAGCAGGTCTAGTAGTATAGTAGGCCTATTATAATTATAAAATCATAATTATTTTTTCAATAAAGTAATTTATATTAACTATTTTGTAGACCTGAAATCTCTGCGAATATAGCTAAAATTGTATCAACTATCATCGATGCAGTTAAGGACATATATAGGCCTACTCAGTCTTCATTAGTTAAAATAAATAACAGCAGGTCTAGTAGTATAGGAGGCCTATTATAATTATAAAATCATAATTATAAAATCATAATTATTTGTTTCAATAAAGTAATTTATATTAACTATTTTATAGACCTGAAATCTCGGCGTATATAGCTAAAATTGTATCATCGATGCAATTAAGGAAAGCATGTTTTTTTTTTCTGATTATTATTATTAGCTATAAAGATGATGATGTAGATAGATAATACTTAATCCCATGTCTAAGTTGACACCTGTCTTCTGACTTTATTAGTAGTTTCTTTACTTGGGATTTGTCTCCCCACCATTCATTTCTTCCTACCTCAGTTGACGTAACCATTCCATGGGCAAAAATAACTAACAAAGCTAGAATTTTAATATTTTTTTATTTTAAAAGCCCCCTTAATAATTAATATATTATTTTTGTCTTAATTTTTATGTATTATGTAACGTGTTGGTAGTGAAAGGCTTTTGCCACAATGTGCACAACTTCCCGTTTCGTGAATAACTATTCATACATTATTATTTTTCAAAATGGAAACTATTGCGTGCTTTGTAAGGAAAGTCATCAGTTTGGCTAAAAGAAGAGATTCTCAACTTTTTATGTACATAATGATAATTATATATTTCTGAGCCTTAAATATCACAACAGTGATATGATTTGCCATAAACATACTTTGTTCAATTCATACACATTTTATTTTTCATTATTTAGTGGATGAAGATGAGGATGAAGAGGAAGAAGTAGTTGAAAAACAACCAAGCAAAAGAGGACGAAAAAGAAAGCAGAAAGAAAGTGGTGAAAGAAAAAAACGGTCCAAGAAAAAAAAAAGAAAACATGGCAGTGATGTTGAGGTTTGTTGTTGTAAATAAAGTTTGAATAATAAATTCTCCTGTTTTTTATTTTTAAAATATTGATATATTGTTTTCACAACTAAGTTATTTATGAGTAATGTTTGACAAGTGAGAACTATGTTTCTAGTTTGTTTGCACTCATGTCTGTTCTAAAAAAATCAATTTGAAAACACCACTCACTTTTTCTGTAAACTTTTTGACATATTCTTATATTAGGAAAGTGAAGGTGAAGCTTCAGAGGATGAAAAGTCTTTTGGTTTCAAACCACTTAAAGAGAAGAAAAAGAAAGGGTCTTCATCTCAAATAACACCTCCACCAGCTCCATCTAGACCAGCTCAAGTGAGTACTGGCTTAATACTTGCATGTTTTAAATGTTTTAATCTTTTCGTCTTTTGTAAGCAAAGCTTTTGTATGAAAGTTTAATAATATTATTAGCAAAACAATGTGGTAACTATGGTTATTTTGCTTGACTAACTTAGGTCGCTAATCATTTTAAAGGCAGTGGTTTAAATAAGTTATTAATTTACTAACTTTAAAAATAATTTAGTTCATCATATTTTCATTATGCATCTTATTTACAGAAGTCATCTGAGGAGTTTTGTGAGGAGAATGGACTCAAAAATGTTAGCATGGAATTCACAGAGGAAGACTATAAAACCATTACTAATTACAAACTTTTCAGTCAGCACATGCGACCTACATTGACCAAAGAAAATCCAAAGGTAGGGTAGGTCTTACATTTGTTTTTGTTCTTATTTAATTTTTTATAAAAGATTTGTAAATATAACCAGTTTAGTTGATTAAGGTTAATAAGACATTTTCTCTTTTAATTTAGATCCCTCAGCAGAAACTTATTATGCTCCTTGGAATAAAGTGGCGGGAATTTGTTGCAAACAATCCTTTTAAGAGTGATAGACCCCCAGATATTCCAGCACCTGTTGTTGTTTCTGTTAAAACTCCAGTAGACTCTCCTGCCACTCCTCAGAGAGGTAACTTCTTCAAATCCCTTCAGCACTATTTTCTCTTAATTTTAAATTCATTGTATTGAATGTGACAGAAATTATTTCTCAAACACATACATTTTCTGTAGCAGAGATTGCATGATGTAATATTATTAAGTAATGAAAACTGTTCACACATAGCATACCATCTTCTTTAAGAGCCATGAAGCCTGAAAGTGTCAACAAAAATGAATGTGTTTATATTAATATTATATATTTTTATTATATTACATTTTTTACTAATAAACTTTTCTGACATTTCAAATACATAGATGATTGATTTAATGTTCTTTTAATGACAGAACACAGTGATCATTAGATGATTTAACAATAACATGTATACTGTAGATGCAGATGATGATGACTCAGAACCTGGTGAAGAGGAAAAAAGTGGTTCAAAAAGAAAGTCAAAGTCTAAAAGGGCACAAGCTGTTGCACCATTGAAAATCAAGCTCACTAAAAAGAAACGGAGAAAGAAGAATAGCTCTGTAAGGTTTTTTCGTTCTAACGTGAGTTATTCAAACCTGTAGATTCAGGGCTCGACAAAGACATTTTAATTTTTTTTTTACTAGGTAGGCAATATGGAATCTATCTGAATTGTATGCTACTGCAGACTTGATTTCATTGCACAGGATAAAGTCATTATTTCATTAATAGATGTTCTTGTCACATGAAACTAATGTCACATCTTCTGTACTTTAATGGAATTTTAAAAAATAAAATTCAGTTTAAGGACATAAGGTACACAGGGTAAGGGAAAACTTATAAAATAAATAAAACAAAAACCATATCTGCAAAAAGCCTTGTTTAGCACAAAAAAAATTGTTTAAGTTAAAAATAAAGTTAAAAGAACATCTCATAGGCTGAAAGTTGTTTATAATCCGAGAAGAAACTGCAAAATTTGTTTTCTTCTTCTTTCAATTTTCCCTTACCTGTGTTCCTTTTTTACAACTTGATCACAGTCTCCCCCTTATCATTCCTTGTGAATTGAAGCTAATAATGCATCATATCTATAAATAGTATTTTACTGTTTTCTTGTTGGAAAAGAAAAATTGTATTCTCAAGTCAATAATTTAAACAAGTTATTTTTGCTTTGAATTTTTCGAGCCCTGTAAATTTTAACTAATTTGGTTCATATTAACTTTATTAAACGGGAAAATTGTAATCATTTGTTGTGACTTAAAACGGCAAGCTATGGAATATATAACCAAATTATATGTCATGTATTGCTTTTAAAGCAGTAGATATGTAATATTGTGATAAATATAGGATGATGATGGTGAGAAAGGCTTCAACACAAGTGATGAGGAATTTGAACGACAGTTGGAGGAAGCAGCCATGGTAAAGGAACAAGAAAAAGACAAATCTGGGAAGAAAAAAACTAAAAGGGGACGTGGCGGAAGAAAAAAGAAAACCAAGTTGACCAGCAAATATCCTAATGATACTGATGCAGATGGTTATGAGGTAGGGGCTATTATCTGAAAGGTGTGCTTAGACATTGGTGATAAAGATTTAAATTAATTAATAAGAGCGTTACATCATGATGAATTGATGTTAAGGCTAGCTATTTTTGTAATGTAGCATACAGCTTTTTAATATAAGGAACTGAGTTTAAGCTAAGTTTAGAAGTTTTGGAACAAGATTTTTTAGGCTTGAAATGGAAACTGAAAGCCACACATTTTTTTTCAAACACACCCCCAAATCATAATTTGTAAACTGGATCTTGCCTTACTATGACTTTTATTGAAGATAAATTTATATAGAAAGTAGGATAATTAACAAAAACACAAAAAAAATCAATCACAACTTTTAATAAGTCAGAATTAGCTGTTATATACTGTTGAAATTCTTTTATAGTCTATTTGTGACTTGCATGTTAATATTGTAAAAAACTTTCATAGGTTTTCCTTCAAATTAGGTTAGACGTATCTCCAGTCTTCAATGTATTTTACTGTTTAAAGAAGTTTAAATTTCAGGGTGGATTGAACAATCAGTATCCTAAAAATGAAAATCTGACCTTAACATCACTGGTGCTTGTTGTAGTGTTTATATTTGAGCCTGAGATGTTTGAACAGTACAACAATCTTGTAAACATTTCAGACAGAACATCAAGACTACTGTGAGGTATGTCAGCAAGGAGGAGAGATTATTCTGTGCGACACCTGCCCTAGAGCTTATCATCTGGTTTGTCTTGAACCTGAACTTGAAGAGGCGCCAGAAGGCAAATGGAGTTGTCCTCACTGTGTAAGTTGTACTTTTGCTGATCTATTTCTTTTTATTTAATTCAAATACTTTGAATTTTCTATTAGTGATAAAAGGAAAGTATTGTTAATCATTTTTTAAAAGTGCAATCAATATTTGTAATGATTTTGACATTGCTAATTATCCTAAAAAGTGTAATTGTTTTTTATTTTTTTAATATTAGGTTAACATAATAATAAAAAAATGTAACCAATTTTTCAGGAGGGAGAAGGTATTAAAGAGCAGGAAGAAGATGATCACATGGAGTTTTGTAGAGTATGTAAAGATGGAGGGGAACTGTTGTGCTGTGACCTCTGTCCTTCTGCATATCACACACATTGCTTGAACCCACCTATTAAAGGCGTGCCTGATGGAGAATGGCATTGTCCTAGATGCTCGGTTAGATTTGAGATATAACAGTTTTATGTTCTAAAACAGCTGTTGTTATTCATTCATAGTCTTAAGTATCCCGTTTTCATTAGATTTATCTTTAGTGGAAACCCCATCTATTACACTAGATTTTTGAACTAATGCCAGTATATTAAGACAAACCAAAAACCCCAAAGAAAGGAAATAAAGATTTTTTGATGCACATTAAAGAATAGCTGTTGAAAAGTTAGTTTCATGACAAAGTCCATAAAATTTTTCATCCTCATAAAATCTATTTATTCTTGAATATTGCATTACGATTTCTTAACATTTTAACGCTATTTAAGAAAAAAAATTTTTAGTAATTATTTAAAAAGTAATTTATATTGAATGCAAAATTTAGCTATTGATAAAAAAAAAACTTTTTTAAAAAGAAATGCATATTTCACTTTTTATTAGTAAGCTTTGTAGACCACATTTATTTTATTGAAATATATTTTGTTTTTTCTGCAGTGCAAACCTTTGAAAGGGAAGGTTAAAAAAATTTTGACATGGAGATGGTGTGAACCACCAAAAACAGAAGATGAATTAGATCATACACATCATGACCCACCAAAGAAACAGACCCTGGTATGTGTCTCTAATTTAAAGCTCTACATATAATCAGTACTTGTTTTGATAGGTCATAAATAGTAATTTTATATTCGATCTCATTTTTTATTAAAACTCACAATATTATCTTGTTAATCTTTTCTTTCTTAAAAAAAACAGAAACCCCTTCGTGAGTTCTTTATCAAGTGGGCAGATATGTCATACTGGCATTGTTCTTGGGTATCTGAGCTTCAGGTAAAAATATTTAATAGAAATAATATTTCCCCTTCTTATACTGCTGTAGAATTATGGATTGTGGTAGACTGATTATTATTAGTCCAGGTCTTCTAAATATAACGTCCCATAGATACTTGTGAAATGAAAGGATGTGTCCCTGCCTTTCACAAGCTTCACTTAATTTTATTACATAAAAGACTTCACATAAATAACCTGCATAAATGTAGAAAGACTCAAATCACATGAGATGAATCGTGGAATACTACTTCAATATACCTCACTATTAATCAATTTACTTTCTCAAGAATAATTCTATTGTAAAAAAAGAAAAACCCACCAATTTTCTGTTGTTACAGTAGCTAACATTTTACATGACTTGTAATCTAGAAGAAAAACCATTTTAATATGGATATGTTTCTCCCATTCCCAGCTTGATGTCTACCATCCTGCTTTGTATCGAAATTATATTCGAAGAGTTGATATGGATGAACCACCACCACTTGAAGATGGTAGCAGCTATAAAGACAAAATGAAGGAGGAAGATCCACACAACCTTGAGGATAGATTTTATAGATATGGAGTACGTCCAGAGTGGCTGAATATTCACAGGATTATAAACCACATGTAATTAATATTTTCTTCTTGTAATTATAATACTATAGACCAAGTAATAGAATATTTTCAGCATTAAAGTTGTTTGACTTTTAAAAGTATGTTATTGAAACATGGCGATATTAATGTGCTATCTTTGTGACAGCATCTTTTTGTTAAAGTTAATTTTTTAATGTTTGATTTTTGTTTTACATATCCTCTATTTTTTCTAATCCCTTTAGGGAGACAGATAAGGGCACCTACTATCTTGTTAAATGGAGAGACTTGCCCTATGATCAGGCCACTTGGGAAAAGGAGGATGCTGACATTGCTGATTTACAAATTGCTACAGACAATTACAAAAACTTGAGGTTTGTTACTGAAATAGAAAAATTAGCAATTATGAAATTACATTTTCCTTTCACTTAAAACCTTATCAGAGACTTAAATAGAACAGGACCTTTTTGCCACAAATTTTCTTTGTTAAATATGCATTATTGAGGAACCTCAAGTTAAAAAATATATATATTCTTGATTTGGAGGAAACATTTCACTTAAGAAAAAAGGTCATAATTTTAAGTTAAACAAAGTGGTCAAGTTACGAAATAGTGGTTTTAAATGAAAACAGAAGTATACATGCTTTAGATTTTTAAAACTTTTGCTTTAGGCTTATTATGTATGGCAACGATGAGCCCCCAGCTCCCAAAAAATCAGGCAAAAAAAGCAAAGGAAAACAGAAGAGAGATAGGAGAGAACTTGATGAAGAGATTCTTTCCAAGATGCCACCTGCCTACCCTACAACAGATGTAAGAAAATCTTCTTTTGGCTAATCTTAAGTTCTTAATTGTTTAAATGATATATGTTTCCTGAAAGAATTGGTACTTTAAGTAGTGACTTAAAGTGAAACTTATTTTTTGTGTGTATAATAGCTACCACAACTCCACACTTTCACATTATCAAAATGTCTATTTACAGCTGCGAAAACAACTTGAAAAACAACCACCTTATCTTGATGAAACAGGTGGCAACCTCCACCCTTATCAGCTGGAAGGTTTGAATTGGCTCCGTTATTCTTGGGCCAACAATACTGACACCATTCTTGCAGATGAAATGGGTCTAGGAAAAACTATTCAGACTATTACATTCTTGTACTCATTGTATAAAGAGGTGAGGGTTCTTCTTAAACTGTAAAATGTATTATTATACTTTTTTTAAATGTGTTTGAGTACTTTTAAACACTATATTTTGTTTATAATTAAATCATTAAAAACTGGATATTTTTTTTTACAGGGCCATTGCAAGGGTCCATTTTTAGTGAGTGCTCCCCTTTCTACTATCATAAATTGGGAGAGAGAATTTGAGTTTTGGGCACCTGATCTTTATGTAGTCACATACATTGGTGACAAAGATTCAAGAATTGTTGTCAGGTAAGTTTTTTTTTTTTATTTATACAAACACTTTTTATTATTAATCATTGGTAAATTATTGCAAAATTTGATCCTTAGGGATGATTTATGAAATTGGGGGGCCCGGCCCACCATGTCAACTTGGCTACCTGCGGATGCCTGATTTATCGCAAAATAAACATTTATTCTTCATTCAATTGACAGATAAAAAGATATTTAAAAGTTAGGTGAGAGAAAAGATAAACAAATATCTCCTTCGTTAAGTGTAATTTTTTTTTAAATTTTGAATTTCATTATGTGCCATAATATAATTCCATACTGCATTTGGTAGGTGTTTATTTTAATATTAGATATAATTATTACATGTGCTCCGCAAAAGGATTACTAGATATACAGGGAAGCCTTTTTTGAGGTTTCCCTCTCCAGTTTTAGAACATATTTTGTTCATAAAATTGTGTTACTTAACAATTATTATATTTGTAAAAAAAACTTCTTTCAGAGAGCATGAGTTTTCTTTTGATGACAATGCTATACGTGGAGGTGTGAAAGCATCACGTTTGAAACAAGGCTGTAACGTCAAGTTCCATGTTTTGCTGACATCTTATGAACTGATAAGTATTGATGCAGCATGTCTTGGTTCTGTGGACTGGGCTGTCTTGGTAGTAGATGAAGCCCACAGGTTAAAGAATAATCAGTCAAAGGTGAGCTTAGAACTTAAAAAATAATAATTTAAATAATTGAAATCTTTTAACTGGGCAACTTTAATTTGATAGGCAATGAATTTAGAGCTTATTTGATTCTGGCTTAGTTTTCTGATCAGCTGCTTAAACTTGACTTCTACAGTTTTTCCGTATCCTGAGCAACTACAAATTGGGTTACAAGCTGTTATTAACTGGAACACCTTTACAAAACAATCTCGAAGAGTTATTCCATCTTCTTAACTTTCTCACCCCTGAGAACTTCAGGTAAAAAAAATATTTATTGCACCATGTTTCTCATTAATCTATTGTAAATTTAAATTAATATTAATTTTTTTTTTTATTGAAAGAATTTGGGTTAACAATCACATCGTTTTCCTAATTTTCACCTTTAAATATTTTTTATAGATGTGCAAGTTATTTCATCAATAGTTTTTGTCACCAGGAAGTTCAACAATAATGTGGTTTGTATTAAACTATTTTTTTAATTGATAGTAACCTCCAAGGATTCTTAGATGAGTTTGCAGACATCTCCAAAGAAGATCAAGTAAAGAAGCTGCATGACATGCTTGGACCACATCTTTTGAGAAGACTGAAAGCTGATGTCTTAAAATCAATGCCCTCCAAGTCAGAGTTTATTGTTAGGGTGGAGTTGTCACCATTACAGAAGTAAGTTACTAACATAATTAGTAAATACAGTATATAGTCTTCTTTACTCATGAATACATACACATTTGTATTGTGTACTCTGGCTATTTATGCGTCTACAATGAAAATAACTTTTTAAATGGACATGAATTGTTTGTTTTTTTCAATTTAGAAAATACTACAAGTATATTTTGGCTCGTAATTATGAAGCACTTAATATCAAGGGAGGCAGTAATCAAACATCTCTTCTCAACATCATGATGGATCTAAAGAAGTGCTGTAACCATCCATACCTTTTCCCAATAGCTGCTCAGGTTGGTATTGCAATTATTTTTCTCTCTATTTTTCAACTAATTGTTGGCAGGTTTTATTTTTAATTATTCTGAGATGTTATGGATAGTCTTCATAAAAAAATATTTCAAAAGATATTTTTTTCTTCCAAATTTCATTCAATGCAAACATTTTTGCAGGAAGCCCCGAGAACACACAATAATGCCTTTGAAGGATCGGCTCTCATCAAAGCAAGTGGTAAACTTGAACTTTTAACAAAAATGTTGAGGGAACTTTTTACTACCGGTCACAGAGTGCTCATTTTTTCTCAGGTGATTAATTGAATTTATTTTATTCTTTTTTAACTAATCTTTTAGACATTTTAAAATAATATAATGTTAAAACAGAAGCCATAGTTAATAAACACTATTCATAACTCCATTTATTATTTTTTTTAAAAACCTTTCGTGATTTTGATTTAAACTTAAGTAAAAAGTGAAACATATTTTTAAATCTGTCAAGGGTCATTACAAAATAATTTTTTTACTTTACAAACTGAAAACATCTTACCACAAAACTTTAGTAACCAGGAAGATGACATTTTTAATTAAAATTTAATGATAATAAATCTCATAATAAACTCAACAGATGACCAAAATGTTGGACTTGCTTGAAGATTTCTTGGAAGCAGAAAACTATCGCTATGAAAGAATAGATGGTGGAATTACTGGAAGCATGAGACAAGATGCCATCGACAGATTTAACTGTAATTTTTTTTTTAAACACCCTTAAAAGCATTAGTTAAAAACAGACTAAAAGTGTAGATAACTTTTGCCATTAGGTTTTTTACATCCTTTAAATAGCTTAACAATTAAATAGCTTAACAATGAAGAAGGAGACTTTACATAGTTCTGTGTGTAATACCTATCCTCAGCCAAGGAAGCTCCAGCTTTTGTTTTCCTGTTGTCTACTCGAGCTGGAGGGCTTGGAATAAATCTTGCCACTGCTGACACTGTCATCATCTATGATTCTGACTGGAATCCTCACAATGATATCCAGGTAATTAACTTGTGTTCACAATATATTCAATTTAAATTTCATAACATCAATTAACAGAAGCCATTTTAATAATGATATTGAATGATTAAAGTTTCTTATCCTCCATTTTAAACTGGACTTTGCAGGCTTTCAGTCGCGCTCACAGAATTGGCCAAGCAAATAAGGTGATGATTTATCGCTTTGTGACTCGAAGTTCAGTTGAAGAACGCATCACTCAAGTTGCCAAACGCAAAATGATGTTGACCCATTTAGTAGTTAGGCCAGGTCTAGGGAACAAAGGTGGAGCAATGAGTAAAAAAGAACTTGATGATATCCTTAAGTTTGGAACTGAGGAACTATTCAAAGAAGAAGAAAGCGTAAAGGAAGGTAATACATATTAGATTATAGCCCTACCTATAGTATGTTTTACATACCGGTAATAATTTAGTTCAGTTATTGTTACAATTAGGGGTGCACTTAAAGCAAATGGCCCATTACAGCAATGAGGAAAATTGTATTGATTGTACAAGGTCATTATTGTGTTACTGGATGGAAGCTGATTTTTGGTGCAACCTTATTTGCAATTTAATGATAAAGTTATGAGAAACAGTAGAGCAAATTTTTTTTTTTAAATTATTTTTTTGTTTTGTTTTGCTAATGATGAAATTTATTTTGCCATTTTCAACCTTTTATTTAAAGTACTCACAAGAAGTTATATACTGCAATTAAATTCCTTATGCTAGAAATTCAGATAACAGTGCTTTTATAAAAATCCTCATTTTGAACTAATTTACTATACATTTTACACGTAGTTGCTTCTAGTTAAGACTCAATTTATTTGTCTTGTGTTAAAAAGTTTATCTATATACAATTTTTTTTTAAAATGTGCACTGCAGGATCTGAAGACAGAATCGTCTATGATATGGAAGCAATTAGAAAGTTGCTTGATAGAACTCAAGCAGGCCAGGAGGAGAAAGAGATGGCAATGAATGAATATTTGAGCTCTTTCAAGGTGGCAAACTATGTAATCAAGGAAGGAGAGGAAGAGGTAGGATATTTTATATTCTATTTTCTTTTTAAATGATAATTTGAACCTGTAAAACCATAAAATAACCAGCTTGAGGGAGGAAATGGCAATATATTATATTTGTTAACCCTTCTTTTATTAAATGTTTAGCTCATGGTTTTGTAGTTCATTTAAAGGTTAATGTATATTTTTACAAAAATTAAAGAAAGCCTCAAATTTTCCACTGCTTTAGTTTTGTACTTAGAATTTAAATAGTTGACAGTTTCATTTAGTTATTTGTTTTTACTTATATTGGAACACTTTGATAGACAAGGTGACATATTGCCATGGTACCCCACATTCTCAGCATTGTTTTGAATGTCTTTAAAGGAAGATTGTTTTTAGGGATTTTTTTAAAACTCTTAAGTTACTTTAAAAAAATTTGGAAAAATAAGTTCAAAGTTACCCTTATCACCAGGAGGAACCTGAAACTGAAGTTTTGAAACAAGAAGCTGAGCATGCAGACCCTGCATACTGGGAGAAACTTCTGCGTCATCATTATGAACAGCAACAAGAGGATCTGGCCAGGACGCTTGGAAAAGGCAAGCGTATCAGAAAACAAGTCAATTACAATGATGCTATGAGTGGTCATGATGAGGAGGCTTGGAAGGAGAACCTCTCAGATTATGATTCAGACTTCAGCCAAGGTAGATTTTTATTTATTTTAAGGGTTTATTCCAAGGATATGGGGGTTATGTGCTCTAAGATGTCTACACTAACTTTTTGTAAACCTTTATGATAGAAATATTCTAATTATAAAAAAATATATATAATTTTTTTGTTTTTGTTCCATAAGCAAAAGTTGAAGTCATGCCAAAAATTTTGTTAATTTAATTTAGGCTAGTGACACTCCTGCTACTTAAATGCACAAGTTCAAAACACACTGACATTCTAGACTATTGTACCATACCATATTATTATGTGATATTTCTTGCAAATAACTAAGCTCAACTTGCACAAAAAATTAATTCCTTCTTCACGTTTGAAGAAAGCTTGAATATGCATTTGGGCACAAATTCGCGGTCTTACTTTTATTTTTTAAAATGCCTTTTTAAAAAAAAAATATTTTAACTTTTATATTGTAAAAGATAACAAAAACCACTATGCTTTATATATTTCCTTGAACAGATCTCTGAGATTAAAATATTACTGTGTGAATTTTATTTCAGTTAATGAGGAAGATGATGATGATTTTGATGACAAGCAAGAAGGTCAAACAGCAAGTAAGTTTTTTCCATATTTATAGAGATATTTTTAAATGTACTTTATAGTCTTCTTTAAATCATTCCTATTCAAAATGTTACTTGCTTCAATAATGTCCTATAAGCTCATGTTCTCTTAGATATTTTGAACACTGCATCTTATTATGCTTCTTGTTTTCAATCATAGCTCGCAGTCGAAGAAGAAATGAAAAGGATAAACCACTGCCACCGCTGTTAGCCAGGGTTAATGGTCAGATTGAGGTAAGTATACGCCAACAAGTTATTCTGATGACCGCTGTCCAAGTTGATGGGTTAGCAGAAGCAAAGAAATGGCTTAGCCCTGACCTATAGGACAAATATTAATGACCAATAGCTGATAATATGAAACATGACCGCAAGAATCTGTTGTGTTTAAAGGCTCAGCTGTACAAACCAATGAAAGTTTGGCTCTTGTTTCTACTCTTAATTTAATAAAAAAAATTAAAATCAATATTTAACTTAATCAATCTAGAAGTAGCATACTCTCACGAATTGAATCAATGTATTTACTTGACAGGTTCTTGGTTTCAATGCACGCCAAAGAAAAGCTTTCTTAAATGCTGTCATGAGGTGGGGAATGCCACCACAGGATGCCTTTAATTCCCAATGGTAATTTATGGAGAGCTCATCTGTTTTACAGCAAACATTAGCTTCAAGTCTCATTCCGGTTTTGTGAACATAGATTGAATTAGTTAACGTAATTTAGAGAGCTAGTGAACAATTTTTGTTTATTGTACATCTTGATCATTGTAGTAACACATCTTACTTTATTATTGCTGGGTCTGGTTATCAAGTTTCCTTCAAGTGTGTATCTTTTCATCCTCTCATCACATTCAGAAGTAAAAAAAAAAAACATTTTTGTTTTCAGGCTTGTTCGTGATCTTAGAGGAAAGACAGAAAAAGTCTTCAGAGCTTACGTTTCACTATTTATGCGACATCTCTGTGAGCCGGGAGCTGACAATGCTGAATCATTTGCAGATGGTGTTCCAAGGGAAGGTTTATCTCGTCAGCATGTTTTAACAAGAATCGGTATCATGTCTCTAGTAAGGAAGAAGGTGAGTGTACTTGAATGTCCACAGTCATAACGACAGCCCAATCCTAATAAAGAATTTGTACTTTTGAAATGACTTTTGAAAGCATTAATCTATTCCTCTGAATTCTGTTATTTATTTCTAATCAAAGGTTCAAGAATTTGAATTGATCAATGGCACACATAGTATGCCTTATGTCAAGGCAGGTGAGGCTATTGAAAAACTTAAATCTGAAGCTGAGGCAGAAAAGGCAGAAAAAGATGCCCTGAAAGATGCCCAGAAAGATGCTCAAAAAGAAGAAAAACAAAAGGATGAAGAAAAGAAAGATGATGATGCAAAGAATGAGGAGAAACTATTGGAAGATGACACAGTTATAAAGAAAGATGAAAATAAGGTATGGCTAAATACCTCTCTGGATTTTTCTTTTCATAGTCTTTTTATATTTTGACATAAAAAAATAATAATTGTTCAACAGTGTATATATCAAATTAGTTAATAAAAATAATATAATTGTTATTTTAAATTCTTACTTTGGCAATCTTAATAAATTATTATCGAACTAGTTCTTTGATTTGCTCAGAATGGTCAAAAAATAGTTTTCTTAATTATTGTACTATTGATTTAAAAAAAGGCTGAAACATCTGATGATAGTAAAGAAGAAAGTATGGAGGTGGATGATAAAAATAAGGATGAAAAGAAAGAACCGAACAAGGAAGTCAAAGCAGAAGGTGATGAAAAAGAATCTGAGAAACCAGAGAAGATGGACATAGATTCTCTTGAAAAGGGTAAGCCTTCTTTATTATGGTAGCCATTTTGTGTCATTCACAAAGTCATGAACTGTTGGATGCTCACTTACTATTATATTTTATGACTTGGGTATTAATTGTATTAGAATTAGGCCCACTTAGTATTTTTTACATTTTTAAAAATAATATATGATCATGTACTGCAGCAGTTTCACTAGATTGCATTCAGTACAGCTAATAATAAATTAACTTAATTGAAACGATTACTTTTCCATAATTTTGTTAAAATACAGCTAAATCTCAATGAAAAGACCATGTCAGTTGTGCAGTTTCTACTTCAGTAAAATGTTATGTAACCTATATGGGTCTGATTAAATCTGATACATTATTTTTAATTTAAAAAATACCGTAAACATGTCATATTTTCGTTTGGACTTATTACTTTTTTTGAGTTTTAATGACATCTGTTGGAATTTCAAACTCAAAATAGATATATTGTGCCACAATAAAATACGTTACAGAAAACTGAAGGGGAAAGGCATTAAATATTTATTTTATTATAGATGCAGATAAAGAGAAGAAAGATGCAGAAGAGGTAAAAGATGATGAGAAAGAGGAAAAGAAAAAAGAAAGCAGTGAAGGTACTTTCAGTCTCCACAAATTATTTTGAACAAAGAGTTGTTTATTTTTAAATATATCTTAATAAACTAAAAGAGAAGAAAGAATGTAAGACCAAATTTTTAACAGTTTTTTTTTAATGTTTTAAAAATTTTATAGAAAAAAATGAAGAAGCTAAAAAAGATGATGAGAAAAAATCTGAGGACCAAAAAGATGATGAGGATAAGAAAGATACGGAGGAGTTCAGGAAACAAGATGAACAGTTTCAGAAATTTATGTTTAACATTGCGGATGGTGGTTTCACTGAGCTGCATACACTATGGTCTAATGAACAAAGAGCACTTACAAAAAGCAGAGAACATGAAGTCTGGCATCGCCGTCATGACTATTGGCTCTTGGCTGGCATAATAACGTATCCTTTTAAACCTTACATTAGAAAATCATTAGTTGTCATTTTAGTCTCTTCTAATTAACTAGAATATATGACCCGGTGTGTGGTAACAATGGAAGGCATATTGCACTACTTTCCACCTGCTGTTGCGAAGTTTCATCTAAAAATCCTTTTAAAAAAACCTATTTTAACTGAATCAGGTTTTAATGTATTGTATCTTCATCCTCAATGTGTCAATACCTTTGAAATGCATTTTATGACATAACATGTTTATTTTGAAAGAAAATATAAAATCTCTTTTAATTACCGTAATATCATACGATTTTTAAATATATGGTTATTCACAAAAAATGTACACATCCTCTTTCCTCCAACTAAAGAATGTTTGCAGTACAAAGTCAAATTATTTCATTTGTCTTAAAACTTTTTTTTTTTTTTAATACCAATTTCCAGTCTGTAACCTATTTCAATTTTCAAATATTGCTACACTCGTCAAATGCATCCACCCATGTTGTGGCATATCTTGTGCTGACTTGGACAAAGTAAAAAAAAATTTAAGTGGGGTGTGTTAAAACAATAGCTTGCAACTTAAAAAGCAATTTTATTTTGTGGTGGAGATTTTCAGTTTTGTAACTCTTGAGTTTATGCTGGCGATTTGAGTGTTTAAATTAAGAACTCATAAAATTATTTAAATTAAGTTCTTATAAGATTATTCTTATTTTTTGTGCACTGAATTCAAGCAAAAAGGGGATATTGGTTAGAATAAATTGAACCATTAACAAATTTAGATTTAATCATGGAGATCATAAGCACAGCAAGATCACCATAACTCTTTAACTACCATGAACCGCTGGGAGCGGCTCGGCGATTCTTTCGTTATGGCTACGAGCCGCTGGTAGCGCCAATGTTAGTATCATAGTAAATCAAGTCAAATATTTATATTATTCCGTTTCGCTTCAAATTTTTAATTTACTGACAGGATGTTTATATTTGAAACGCATGCTATGGGCAGAATTTAAAAAAAAACTAAATGTTAATTAGTTTTGATTTAATTTCTTAGCTAGTTACAACATTGTACAACATGTTTACCACAGCAACAAGTGACAGGGTTACTAAAGCCATATAAGTGATTAGAAGTGTAAATATTTTTCAATTTCTGTGTTCTTTGGTGAATTTTTCTTATTATTGGATATACTATCTGGAAACCACCAAATAAAAAGCTTTAAATGATTAGGAAATTAAACATTTATACATAAGTTGGCACATCAATATATTTTTTTTTTTTTCTATCGAAAATACTAATTTAACAATTAATAATTTCCTAACCAAATTTAACTTTACAAATGTTTTAAGCTTATATTACAGACAATTAAATTACCTACAAAATAGTTTATTAATCATTATAATATGTTTATAATTAATTAAACTGCAACTAAAATTGTACATACACCTAAAATGAGAGAATGTGACCTAGATTTAATTCTGCCACAGCAGGTATTTCAAGCTGGTAGTTAATCAGTTAAAGTAGACATCTTTACCAGCAATTTTTCAAAGCTCAAAAAAGGCAATTCAAAAGCAAATACGTCAACTACATATTCGGGATGGATATAGAACTTATTTGTTTGTGTATAATTTACTAAAACGTGCAGAAAAAACCCCAGACTTTTGGTAAGAGGCCCCATACAAACTTTTTCACGCCCCTGAAGCACAAAGAAAATAATTATTATATAACTCTTTGGCTGCGGAGTTTTTTTTAAGAAATGAGTGAGAGGTTGGGTTTATTAAAAAATATATAAAATATTATTTTTTGGTTTATAAGACTAAACTTGGTATCAGATGAAAGATAATTGAATGGACTATATCTTTGTAAATTTATTTCTTCAGTTTAAATAAAATAAGTAACAGAAAAGTACACTAAAATGTGAAAACATTTTATGCTAAACCATTTTTTCCCCAAACCCTATGATGTATGCATACTCATCTTCACTTCTATGACTCAAATTCTCTAAAACTACTAAAATCGGAATCATGCAATTGATCTAAATATAAATCATCTTCACTATCAAAAGAAATAGTATAAAACAATTCAAAAGCTTTTTGTCTAGGAAACTGGCCTACCTACTAGGGCCTAGGGTAGCCATAGCAACAGAAGAAAATAGTAAAAATAATGCTTCAAATGACAACTAATAAAAAAATTATTTAGAATTTATTATAATAATACTTACATATTAAAGATTACTTATACTTGCATAAAAGCAGATACATTTTATCATATTTAAGTTGATTTTATTTCCAAAAAATTCCTATCATTGTTTTTAAGAATTCAGCATTAAATGGTCACATTAGCTAATTCTTATATATATAAATATAATATTTACCAATTTATAAAATTATCAATCATAAATATGCAATCTTCCTTAACCTAATACAAGTCATGGCTATGGCCGCTGGCAAGACATACAGAATGACACTCGTTTTCAGATCATCAATGAACCATTTATCTCAGAGCAGGGTAAAGGTAACTTTTTGGAGATCAAAAACAAGTTCTTGGCTAGACGATTCAAGGTGAGTCTAATTCTTGGACTATGTAACCTTCATCCCTATAATAGACATATTTCCTATCGTTCAGTTTCCATTGTGTTAATTAAATTAGATATATGTGAACATTATTTTTCATTTAGTATTTATATTTTCATCCTTATTACACTTATCTGAGTGCATATGGGTTTATGCAAATGAAAGCAAAACCACCATATAAAAAAATATAGGCACATGCAGAAGTTTAATATAACTTTAAGTAATGTGTAACAGTGAATAGTGAAATTATTTGTGTGACATTGAAATCTTCAATAGCAATAACTTTAATTAACTCAGCTCAGGCTATTTAGTGTAAGTGTATTGGCTAATCACTTTGATTTGATTCTAGCTGTTGGAGCAAGCTCTTGTCATTGAAGAACAATTGAGACGTGCTGCATACTTGAATCTAACACAAGATCATGCCCATCCTGCCATGGCCCTCAATGCCAGGTAAAAATCAATTACTTGATGGTTTCTCATTGCTCCTTGTAGATATGAAAAGCTAGTACCAGGTTTGCTTTTATTGACATATTTTATTGTTACATTTGGGGAAAGAAAGAACAAAAGATGCTTTGTACCATCTTGACATAAGTTTTATAAGTTTATGCTTCTTTTATTTGTTAGATTCGCTGAACTGGAATGTCTGGCCGAGAGTCATCAGCACCTAAGTAAGGAATCGTTAGGTGGAAATAAACCTGCAAATGCAGTTCTTCACAAAGGTTAGTGTTGAAAAAACTCATTAGTCCAAGTTAATTGTCTGGCAAATGTGTTTCAATTAAAAATACAAAACAAAAAAAAACAAAAAACAAAATATACCATGCACAAACTCTAGAAATTAAAGTATTAGTGCAGCAAAAAAAATGTTGAGTAATTCCAACTGAAAATTCAAAGATTTGTTTGTTCACTTTTTGTATATTAGTGTGTTATAAGCTGATTAAATGAATCTATTGAATGTTTTATTATTGTGCTGAAGTTGAGCAGGCCTTAAAATTACCCCATCTTTATTTACAGTTCTCAATCAACTGGAGGAGTTATTGAGTGACATGAAGCAAGATGTGTCCCGACTGCCAGCAACCTTAGCAAGGGTTCCCCCTGTCACTCAAAGACTTCAGATGTCCGAGAGAAACATTCTCAACAGACTCGTGACACCTAGCGTGATGCCAGGTGCTAACCTCCCACAGCAGCCCCAGATGCAGACGCAACAACAGCAGCTTCACCAACAGCAGCAGCAGCAACAACAGCAGCAGCAACAGCAGGCATCCACATCGAGGACCAGTAGTCCAGCTTTGGTAAATCCTGCTTTAACAGGTGAGTGTGTCACAGCCATTAATAGTTCTAACTTCTTTGTCAAGTTCATAGACTTTTATAATTTCTTTTAAAGTCATTGCGTTACTTAGTCTGAAGAGATACTTCTACTTCCACCTTCAGATGGGGAATTATTTATTCAACACTACATTCTTACAGCATGAAACATTTGTTAACTTTAACAAGTATTTTTTGTTTGGTTTTAGCTGCCAAAACCAGTGGTAGAAACTCACCAGCTGGATCATCTAAATCACCAGCACCAACCTTAGGTTAGTATGTATGCCTTTATACAATCTTTTATTATTATTATTTTATTTATTATTTGAAGGAAATTCCTTTGAACAGAAGTTTGCTCAAAATTCAATTTGTTCAACCGAGATTTATTTATTTAATATTTTTTAAGTGAGGTTGCAAATGAGAAATGCGGAAAATACAAAAATAATTATTTTTGTTGTTTTTTTTACCATTATTCAATTTTGAAGAAACTTCCGTCAAGCCATTTTTCTTTTCAAAATTTTCCTTCCTACAAATTGCCATTACCTTAAATATTTTTTTTTGTGTGTGTTTTGAGGGGTAGCTTCTCGTCATATTTCATTTAAATTACAAACAAATAGCCATTTTAATAGTCAAAGTAGTAGTAGGGTTCTTTGATTCTGTCTGCTTTAAAAAGGGTAGGGGATTATGGTTAAATAAATGTTTCTAAAATGAATATGCTATAAACATAGTGTCCACTGTCTATTTTTCTAACCTGCAGAAAAAGATGATGACACAGCAAAGAAGGCAGATGCTGAGAAGGCAGAGGAAAAGAAATAATCTGTACAGATTTTAGTGAAAAATGTTCAGGGGAAGATAATCTTCCTTGTCATGATCCTAGGGTTGCACAATAAGCTTACTGTCGGCTATAATGTAAATCTGTTGTCCTATGAAAATATGTATTATATTTAATAGTGGGTTGTTTTTATTATTTCATAATTAATCGGAAATATAAAGCTATTGTTGGAGAGTAAACTTAAATAATTAGTATGACCTTGGGAAGAAACAGGCGTCACCACTGATTCCCAAGCATTTGATCTTTGGACATTAACCTCTGATCACGATTTTAAAATAGACCCTAGTTATTCACATTTTTTTTGCTGACTAACTTGTGATGACAAAAATTCTGTTCAGAAATGTGCCATTGATAAATGCAAGCTATTTGAAGAGATATGAAGAGGTTCACCCATTTTCAATTAGTTTTGTCAAATTAGGCATTTACTGAGATCCCAGTTTTCTGGACTTTATATTTGGTATTCTTTGTGGCACTGGGCAGTCGTTGCCGTAGGCAACTGCCAAGTTTTGCTGGAGGGAAAAGGGATAAAGGACATGGATAGAGCACACAGAACTTGCATTTGTATTCTGGGACAAAAATAATTAAATGAAATAAATATATACAGGATTCTATTCAAACCATCTTGACTTACAGCTCACGCCTGGGTAGAATTTTCTGATATACAAAAGGCGATTACAGTAAAAATTAAAAGGCCGATACTGATTAAGTGGCAAAATGACTAAAAGTCAATCTTTCCATTAATTGCTGCAACCCTATTTGATTGGTGGCCACAGAGTAATACCTGGTGTCATCTTTCCATTAATTGCTGCAACCCTTTTTGATTGGTGGCCATGGAGTAATACCTCGTGTCTCAACTGTTCCAACCATTATATTTGTTAACCCTGTGAATGTTTTTGAATGGTCCAGTTCTATATTTTTAAAAAATAATTAGCATTAAATAAATTATAAATGATGCTTTGTAAGACAGGATACAACAGTTGCTGTTGTTGAAAGTGTCAAAGTAATGAATGCCAGCTGGATGATAGTGGTATTTTAAATGCTTTATTAACTTAACTTGATCTCTTTACAATTTTAAAAAAAAAATGTTTGTAATGGTGATGTGTAAATTCATCTCATGTTGATGTCATGTCTGTTGTAAATGTTACCAGGTGAGAAGGAAGCTTTCAGAGAAAAGACGTCATTTGTAAGAACAATACCATTAATATGTAATGTATTCTTGTAACATTTTTTGACTTGCCTATGTCAAGTAAATAAAGGGTCAAATGTTTCATAGTCAAGCTGTAAAACTCTGGGCATAAATGAATGTACCAGTTTATGCTAGTGTTTCATGTATTGATGTTGAGTTCCTCAAGATGATAAATGCCAGTTGCATTAATTCAACTCATCACAGTTTTTAATTAGGTGATCTATTAACCAAAAAAAACAAAATAATAATCCAGTTTGAAATAAATGCTTCAAACCTCATGTCTTTGTGTTGTGTTTTGTTTAAACTATAGGCCACATTTGAAAAGTTATTGTGTAGAAAGTTAAGTCCTACACTCGCATAGACTATTTATTTTCTTGTCTTTAATATTAAAAAGTGGGATTAGGAAGATGGTTTGCCATGGGTTGAGTTATTTGAAAAAATTCAGTTTGTTAACTATTGTGAAAGGGCATATGTTATACAGGTTGATCTAAGTACAACCTTATTTTGGAACGTCAGTATCTGTAATGCTATTTATTCTAAAGCGCACTGTATAATTTGATCTATACAAAATAATTTTACTGGTACTTTCAGTTTCAGGCACAAATTGTGAAGTATTTGAAGAAATAATTCAAAGTAAATGTTCCTTTTTTACTCTTTATATACGGTTAGAGATCGACCGAATTTCGGTTTCGGGGCCAAAGTGGCCATTTTATCACTTTCGGCCAAGTTTCGGCCGAAACTGATAAGTTAACTTTCGGCTTAATTTAGGTTTCGGCCGAAATAGAAAAGTTAACTTTCGGTTTTTCTTCAGTTTCGGCCGAAATTGACTTAGACTTTCGGCCATCCAGCCGAAAGTGACTCAGGTTTTCGGTCATCTAATACTCAGGGAAAGCGATATTTAACAACAAACTAAGCGACATTTATGAACAAATTAAGCGATCTTTGAGAACAAACTAAAACGATATTTAACAACAAACTAAGCGACATTTAAGAACAAACTAAACGATCTTTAAAACAAACTAAGCGATCTTTAAGAACAATCTAAGCGATCTTTAATAACAAACTAAACGATCTTAAAGAACAAGCTAAACGATTTTTAAGACCGAACTAAATGATCTTTGAGAACAAAACAATTGATCTTTAATAGTAAACTCAATGATTTATAAGAATAAACTAAGCGATCTTAACAGAAAACTAAATGTTCTTTAGGAACAAACTAAAAGATCTTTAAGAACAAACTAATTGATCTTAAGGAGCAAAATCAATTATCTTTAAGAACAAACTAAGCGATCTTTACAACAAACTAAGCGATCTTTAACAACAAACTAAGCGATCTTTAACAAACTAAACGGTCTTTAACAACAAACTAAACGATCTTTAACAACAAACTAACGATCTTTAACAACAAACTAAACGATCTTTAACAACAAACTAAACGATCTTTAACAACAAACAAAGCGATCTTTAAGAACAAACTAAACGATCTTTAACAACAAACTAAGCGATCTTTAATAACAAACTAAGCGATCTTTAACAACAAATAAAGCGATCTGTAAGATTAAACTAAGCGACATTTTAGAACAATCTATGCGATGTTTATGAACAAACTAACCGATCAATAACAACCAACTAAACGATCTTTAAAATCAAATTAAGCGATCTTTTAGAACCACATTTTTTAGAGACCCATATAATTAAATAGAAAGCAGAATCAGCTTTCTAGCTTTAGTACTTTATGAGCTATGAATTTTTAAAATGCGAATTAGATTGTTTTTTTTTTTACTATGGACTGTACCTCCAAATTTTGTGATTGAAGTGAAATAGAAACTTCAGGGAAAGGATAACCTCATCTGTGAACTCTACAGAATCATCAAGGGATTTCGGAGAAAGCTGTTATTGTTTGAAACACATCTGGAAGGAGAAGACTTTTCTAATGTTAAATGTTTCAAAGAGTTTTGCCCTACAATCACCGAAGATGTCAACCTCGATTTTCCGAAGAAAAAAAAAAATCATTCGTGACTTGAAGAAGCATATCATCCATCGCCAACCCCTTTTGAGGTCACCCCACATGGACTGGAAACATGAGTCTTAGCAACTTGATTATCGCAAGATGTATGATAAACCATCTTATAGTATGATTTTTAAAAATTTTAATTCTAAGATCAACATATTAAGACACATACAAATATAGATAGGCCTATATGTATTGAACATTCCCGATTGTTATTGTTTTTCCTTTTCGAAACGAACTCCTTGTTACAAGTTGTTTGGGACGTTAGCTTGTATATTTTTAGTAACTGATACTCGGATTAGAGACCCATGTGAAGATCGCAAAACGAGTTAAGTTTTATGGTATCCCAATCCTCTTGACCCCACTCCTCCTGTCCCCTACTCCTATTGCCCCCCCCCCCCCCCCCCCAATTTCGTTACACAGCATCCAAAAGCTGGAATTATTAGTTACTGTCACAACTGACCGAGTGTTTTCAGCTTCTGTTCAATGGGTATGTATAACCTTTCTTTATCTGTGATTGATACGGTTAACGCAAGGGGAGGCAAGTTATTATAATTTCGACCAGAGTTTCTCAATCTTTTTTTGCCCCAAAGTTCCACCTGAGCACCAACCTAAAAGGTTTACCCCCCCCCCTTTTTTTTTTTTACAATCAACTCTTCAAATTGTCCCGATGTCAAACACTAATATAGACTGAACATTGAGTTGTATCAGAGTTTCTCAACATTTTCCCAGTAGGGCACCCGCCTTAAGCGTTTAAAAAATGTGTCCTCCACCTCCATCACACTAATTTCAAAACATATTTCCCGCGTCCCCGGGGGGAATATTTCATATAAAAATGCAAATAAACATGATTTTCTGGGTCCTCTAACACCCCAGAAACTGTCTCCGCACCCCAAAGGTCTCGCTGTTTAAGTACCGTATGCGACAGTTTCATACTTTTTTTTTCTCCAAATGATTGGTTGAAATGATGGAGTCAACAATACTTTGTTATTTTACTTTTTACAGATCATACATTAAATATCTGATGCACTGCAGGCCAAGAGACAACTTACTGGAATGTAGGGGGTGGTTGTATCTGATGCACTGCAGACCAAGAGACAACTTACTGGAATGTAGGGGGTGGCTGTATCTGATGCACTGCAGACCAAGAGACAACTTACTGGAATGTAGGGGGTGGTTGTATCTGATGCACTACAGACCAAGAGAAAACTTACTGGAATGTAGGTGGTGGCTGTATCTGATGCACTGCAGGCCAAGAGACAACTTACTGGAATGTAGGGGGTGGTTGTATCTGATGCACTACAGACCAAGAGACAACTTACTGGAATGTAGGGGGTGGTTGTATCTGATGCACTGCAGACCAAGAGACAACTTACTGAGAAGTAGGGCGCGGCTGTATCTAATGCACTGCAGACCAAGATACAACTTACTGGAATGTAGGGGGTGGCTGTATCTGATGCACTGCAGACCAAGAGACAACTTACTGGAATGTAGGGGGCTGCTGTATCTAATGCACTGCAGACCAAGAGACAACTTGCTGGAATGTAGGGGGCTGCTGTATCTGATGCACTGCAGACCAAGAGACAACTTACTGAGAAGAAGGGGGCGGCTATATCTAATGCACTGCAGACCAAGTTATTGGGGCCTTTATACAAATTATGAGGGTAAACAATGACCGTTCGTAAATGCTGTTAAGTAAATTAAGCTGCCAAAATGGTTGTTTCATGATGCTCATTATTCAAATAATTGTTTTGGCTTTGAGTGACACGGACTTGATGTTTGCTTTGATACAAGAATATTATTTTATTTTTTTTTAAAGTG